TAAATAAATATAAAAACATTTTTCTAAAAATAATAATAATAAATAGATTAATATATATAATTTATAAAAGTAAGATGTTTATTTATTTAAAATATCAGAAAATTGACATCGAGTTGCTTTAAGACTGCCCTTTCTTAATATTTAAAAATAAGTAAACATTGTTATCTAATCGAATTAAAAATTTATAATATTGCATTTCATATAAATATTAGTGAATAAAAATATAAATAATAAATATATGAATAAATAAATAAAATACTAATTTAAACATATAAATGATAAAAATATAAAAAATGACCAAAAGAAAATGATATCTAAATTAATGAACCTAACTCGAAATATAAAAATATATTTGATAATAGTGTAAATATCCCTTTATTAATCGGTGATTAGAATAATAATTATTAAAACTACAATGGTTAAATAAGTTATTTTACCTTAAAATATATATAAGCATATCATGTACTAATTATAAAGTAAAAAACTATAAGACCGAATTAGAAGTTTAGGATTTGATTTCAGTGACCAAATTGTAAATTTACAGAACTCAAGAGGACTACGTAAATGGTTTACCCAAATTAGAAATTACACAAACATCCCTCACCAAAACTACGTAGTTTTGGTGAGGGTTTAAATACCCTTTAATTGTCCCAAATAATCCATTTTCCCTCATTTTTCATTTTTTCACTCTCTCTCTTAAAGAGAGAGATGACAATTCTCTCTAAATTCTCTCTAGTCCTCTCTAACCAGAGGTGATCCGGTCATCGGTTGGTCGACTTGCTCCGACGCCGGCAGCCCCCGCCGGCCACCACCCGCGGTGGTCGGAAATATTTTTTTTACACTAAAATTTCTTTTTATTTTTCCTAAACCCGAATCTGAGATTATTTTAACCTAAAGAGCATTTAATCTTAATATATCTACAATAATACCTTCGAACTCCGGTGGTTTCCGGCGACGTTCGGGTTCCTTGCTCCGGTAAGTTTCTTCACGATCTTCTCTTCCTGTTTTGGTGCTTGTTTGTTGGGTATTTTCTCTAGCTTCCTTCTCTTGCTCTCTCTATCGATTCCCCCCTTCTTTTTGCAGGCTCGGTGGTGGCTTTTATAGCCACCACAAAGCTCTCCATGGACCGGGTAATAAGGGGGAGTTCGATGAGTCACCAAACTATGGTGGTGACTCACCTATAGCTTCAACGTGGAGGGGCAGCTGTCGCTGGAAGCTACTGGAAATGCTGCGTGGAGGGGCTGCTGCAGCTGCTGGAAATGCAACGTGGAGATGCTGGAATGGAGAGGTAAAAATGGTGATTACAAAACCCACTAAACATAATTTATAAATCATCTATTAAATTAACAAAAGCTTAGGTGACCCACGTTTTGGAGTCAAATGGGGTTAGGTTCATACATAAATAGACTATATTATACTAGTGGAGGTTAACATGTTTTTTTTATGTAAGAAATATTGTTTATACTCATTAAGTTAATATATATTTATATATAAATGTTTGTTGTACAAATGGTGGCTTTTTATGTCTTGTATTCATGTGCGTGCTATATATATATATGTGTGTGTTGGGCATATAAATGATTATTTCGTATCTCATGAACTCATGCATAATGAATAGCTATATATATGTATGCACCATGCGTGTATCTCATAGTAAATAATAGTTGTTCTATCAAATGAGTTTTACAAAAATTAATCGAAATTTTTTGATGTTAACCCTAATTCCGAAGGTCCATTTTGCAGAAAAGGTCGAAAGTATACCAGTTAAAAAGGTTGAGCGGTTTGCTTAGTTCTGTAGGATTAGTATCTTTGAATATGATTTTCCTTTTTAATCAATTTTAATAATTAAAAATATTTTAATTATAAAGTATAGGAATATAATATGAAAATCGTTTTAAATATAATATGAAAAATAAATTCTTTCAATTTAATGTGTAAAGTCATGAATTTTATTTGATTGTTAAAATACTGATATAATTGCATATATTTTTCGATCGATGTGCATAATATCATCATAAGCATTACTTGACTCGAATTAAAATAAATTGACTAAGGGTAATATTCGATCATTTTAAAATTATCAAAAGAAACTTTGTAATACGTGAATATTTAATCCAGTTTAATATATAGCATTAAGTATTAATACTAGAACTTACATTTTAAATTGGAGCTTCTAGGTTCTTTAATTTTCATAATTTGACACTTTAAGTTAGAAAATGCCTTAATTTACTTTTAGTTTAATTAGGATAAATAAAATTTTGTTTGATTGCATTTTTACAAATCTAAGGCACTGTTTACTTATTAAGGAATTAATAGTATATCTCCCGCGATCGTGCTCAGGGGGTGACTACTGGTAATTCCTTAAATAAGTCGACATCGTTTTCAAAACCACATCATGTATTAAAAAAACAAGACAATATTCGGTTATTAGGCACAATAGCTGATCTCCCGCATTTATGCTCGGGGGCGAATGCTATCGGTCTCGATAAACGAATACCCTTTTCAACTTTGCATTCTTAATGATTTTTAAATTAAATAAAGATCGAATTCAAAATTTCCGATTTTAAATATAGGGTAATCAACTAGGTACCAATATTTGGGCGCTTGTGGGGGTGCTAACCTTCCCCACGCGTAACTGACTCCCGAACCTAATTTCTAGATTTTTGCAGACCCCAAAACTCGGTATTTTATTAAAATAAAATGTTTTATTAAAATCACCCGGTTTTTATGGTGTTCCAATCTCACCTTAAATGATTGGTGGCGACTCCTCACATTTTCGAAATGATTTTCTAATAAAAACCCCGAGTCGATATCGGCTTTTCCCCTCTGGGCGAAAAACGGTTACGACAGCTTGGCGACTCCGCTGGGGACACTTTGTTTTTAAAAACAAATTGAGAGTCGAGCCACGAGTTGGTTACCCTATATTTATTATTTGGAAATTACGAGTTTGATCTTGTTTAATTTATGGTTCATTCTCAAACCCAATTTTCCTAAGTAGGGAGAAACGTCACACCTCACGAGGAGCATTGGGCTTTCTTGTGTGGGTCTGACAAAGTATCTCTGGAAAAAACCCTAAATTGCCTATCCGGATATCAGTTCCGAGGTATGCTTTTAGTGGTATGATCCCCTGAGCTGAACCCGATTTGCAAGTCTGTAATGGGCCAGAATTGGGGGCAACCTTAGCAGGTTGTAAAGATAGCTTGGGAGGCCGTTGCTAGAACCCAACATCATATAAATAATTTAGTAAGCCTACCCCATTAAAGCCAGGTAGATAACTTAGAAGAACTAGATCGTATGATGTTAGGATTTTTAATTTTCTTTGATTATTTCGCATTCGATACTTTAACTTTTTACTAATTATTCTTTGATTTTTTTGAATTATTCTAATATCACTAACTTATTGTGTTGTTTCTTGATTGCATGTATCATTATCATATCGCATCATTTCATAAACGGTATTGATTCCCAAATCACCTAGTTATTATAAAAAAACTTACGGCAACAATGTCTTCCGATGAGACTGAGAATGCAATCAATGTTCAGACCTAGTCTGAATACGGACAGGCACGGTCCGGGGACAGCCTTGTCACTACCGAAGATCCAATTTTTTCAGAAAAGGTAATTATCCGAGTCAGGCAGGCACATTGGGCAGAGTTATCAAGAATTTGGTCCACCTGGGATCATAATGAGAAGATACTATTCAGAGGGATATAGGCGACATCGTAGAGCTACTGAGAGTACCAATAGATTCAGTGGTGGTTCAAGCCCTTGCTGAGTGTTGGAATCCAACTTACAGGTGTTTCACTTTCGGTAAAGTAGACATGACCCCTACCTTGGAGGAGTATACTGCTTTGCTGAACATCCCGGATGTTAGAAGAAATTCTATTTACACCAAGGCAATTCGACCTAAGGGGTTCATAACCAAAATGATCATGCTGACAAGAAAGACCAAGGAGTGGGTCGAAGAATACATTCATGATGAGGGGATCTCCTGGGCTCAGCTAAAAAGTTTAATTTATGAGCAAACACCATCAAAAAGAAGAAGAGATCACTTCACCCTTGCGGTATATGGTTTGGTAATTTTTCCCAGGAATGAGGATCACTTCAACATCGCCTTAATCGATTTCGTCGAAGCTATCGCTAGAAAGAATCCCGCACCAGCCATCCTTGCGGAAACATTCTTGTCACTAAACCAGTGTAGACGATTGGGAGGAGGTCAGTTCACCGGATGTGCTTCAATGTTACTAGTTTGGTGGTGGAGCCACTCCTGGATAGTCGAGAAAGGCTGGGATCGGAGACATCAATCAAATTTTTCACCTCTAGTGGATTTCCTCGATAAATGCTAAATCCCAGAGCGTCGTAAGTGGAAAGACTAGGTTGAAGCTCTCCGTAACATGAAAGATACTGAGATAGTATGGAAGGCTTACTGGTTACCCAAGGAGGACATACTTTACAGGTGTGGTAATGATAGTTTTGTAATGCTGCACGGATTATGGGGAGCGATTGGGTATACTCCGTTAATTGTGCTCAGACAGTTTGGTACCCGTCAGTTCGTACCAGCTACCCACAGCCTGAAGGAGACAGAGTTTTCTTTCTCTACTCCGGGTTACCGAGAACGAATTTCAAAGATATATGCGACTTGGCAAAATCCTCAATGCATGAGCTTCAAGATGATAGAGCCTGTATTCACGCCGACCTATGAGGTTTGGAGGTCACAGAGAATTAATAACAATACACGTAAGCCAAATTTAGAGGACAAATTGACTATGGAAGAGTGATTGAGAAGGCCCCCGACAGAAGCCGAGCTGTTAAAAGAGGAAATGCGACTGATGAATTTGGAGAGAGAAAAAGAGCAGAGAAGCTTTTCGGATGAGAAGACAATATGGGAACTCGAAATGATTAAGAAGGACGGAGTGATAAAATAATTGGCCAAAGAGAAAGAGAAGGTCCAGGAGAATTTTGATGCGCTAAACCAAGATTTTCGGGCCTTAGAGAAGAATATGAGAGCCCAAGGTCTACATCATACTGTTAAGACCCTAAAGATAAAACTCGATAGGGTAGAAAGAAGTGCAAGAAGAGGCCAAGAAGAAAAGAAACGAGCACTACAACACGCTCGGAAACTGAGAGAGCAAAGAGATGAGGCTAACCAAGAACTAGCACAGAGGCGAGCAAAGATTGAACAGCTCGAAACACAACTGCTTAATATTGAGGAGACTTTTCGAAACCCTCACAAAAGTCTTCAAAAAGAAAATGAAATGTTAAAGAAGAAGATAGTGGAGCTAGAAGGAGCAAGGTTGATCCACTCATCCGCACAAGAGATAACCATGCAAGAAAACGAGGCCTTAAAAGCAAAGATTGCTGAATTAGAAGTCATAGTGCATAGATGCCATCAACGAATCCAACAGCTAGAAGAAAGCCGACCATTAACTAATCCAGAGCTTGGAATTGCTCTACGGCAGGCTCAGGACACCATTGAAATGCAACATGAAGCAATGGAGAGAGCAGTGGATCAGGCCCGCAATGTAGCTCATCAAGTCTACGAATTATCTGAAGAAGCGGCAGCTTTAAGAGTTTTCGTGGTTCTAGAATCAGAGGAAGAACGACGCATCATGGGATTGATGATAGAGCTCGAGAGATTAGGGAATAGGCAAGATTCTACATTTAATACTCGTGTTGATATAATCTCTTTGCCTAAGTGCTTAGATTGTGTGTTGTTGAGTACCTTTTATATAAACTATATTATTTTGGAATCAATATCATGTTACATTTGCGTTTGCATTTTCATATGTTTTTTTTTTCAAAATCTTAATGATAACATTATAATAATTCATTCATTGAAATTCACCAAATAATAAAATACAATTTCCAATCATTTGTAGTTATCCTGGCATACACCTCACACCCATACGGTACTCTTCAATCAACCAAGAAAATGGAAGACAAGATCACACAAATAAAAAAAACTCAGCTTGAAATACAAGAGAGTTTTAAGAAAACGCAAGAGGATATGCATGAACAGATGGTAAAGTCTCAAGACGACATGATGGCAAAACTGGTTAGTTTGCTACAAGGAAATAGTATAATCCGAGAAGAGACTCCAGTTATCGTCATGCTATTGAGGAACCGTTATATCCCCTGGCTTCACACCACCGCATGTCCATGCACAACAAACCACGGTCGTCCAACCGAATAAAATACAAGTGAACCTACCTGGCTCTTCTACAAACCCGCAACCAATTAAATATGTCCCTGATTTAGATGAGGAAGACAAAAAAGAACAGGATAAGGAGATTAAGAAGAATGGGAACAAATGAAACATGAATTCTGAGCTATGAAAGAAGATGCTAGCCTATATGGAATTGACGCCAGAGAGCTAAGTCTGGTCCCTGATTTATTACTGCCACCGAAGTTTAAAGTTCCAGACTTCGAGAAATTTGATGGCACTAGTTGTCCTTCTTCACACATTACCATGTTTTGCAGAAAAATGACAGGCTATGTGGGAAATGATCAGCTATTAATTCATTGCTTTCAAGAAAGCCTGGCAGGCTCAGCAATCCGTTGGTACAATCAGCTAAGTCGGGATCAAATTAAATCCTGGAAGGATTTGGCTAAGGTTTTTCTAGAGCAATATAAGAACGTAAAAGATGTGAGGCCAAACCGAATTCTGTTACAGACCATGGAAAAAAGATCCAATGAAAGCTTTAGGCAATATGCCCAAAGGTGGAAAGATGTAGTTGTGCAAGTTCATCCACCATTAGAGGAGGAAGAAACTAATATGTTCTTTGTAAATACTCTGAGGACCCCGTTCTTTGGACATCTTATTGGAAATTCGTCCTAGAATTTACTGATATAGTCAATGCAGGAGAAATGATCAAAATGGCGATAAAAAATGGGAAGCTAGACGGGGGAGAATCTAGCCGAAAGCCTCCAGCAAGAAGAAAGGATAATGAGGTTAGTAATGTGAAGAAATATGATTCTAATAACATTACAGTATCTCGACCACAAGCCACTGTATCGTCAGCACTAAATTCTATCCAGCAAGGGACGAAAGAACCGAGATAGAAAAGGGAAAGGGTTCAATTTGACCCTATCCCCATGACTTATAAAGAACTATTCCAAATCATGTATGACAAACATGTGGTTTCACCTTACCACACTTCTCCAATACAACCTCCTTATCCAAAATGGTTTGACATTAATGCTCAATGTGAATATCATGCAGGGGCATCGGGGCATTCAATTGAAAATTGTCTGGCCTTTAAAAAGTTGGTGCAGAGATTAAGACAAAGAAATATCATCAACTTCGGTGACAGTGAGCAACCCAATGTGGCTCAAACCTACTACCGAACCATGCAGGGACAGGGGTTAATGCTGTTATTGAAGAAAAAAGGAACGGAGTCATAATCAAAGTCAATGAAGTGAAGTTACCCATGCATTGGGTATGGGGACAAATGGTCAAAGTAGGTTGGTTAACCTTTAATGCTAACGAGAATAAGCATGCTTGCCCCTACCACCATTGTGAGGATCATGTCATTCAAAATTGTGATGAGTTCAAGGCCTTGGTTCAAAAGTTGATGGATAGTAAAGACATGGAATTTTACCATGAAGCTACGAAAGAGAAAGAGATAGAGATTTGTGCTTCCGAAGGCACATCCAAGGGAGTTTACAATACTAATTGCCCTTTAGTCATCACACCGAAAGCTCAGACTATGGAAAGGTTAATCCCAAAACTGGTGATCACGCCTCTGTCGTCCTTTCCTTATAAAGACAACAAGCAGGTTCCTTGGAGGTATGGATTCCAACTAGAGAATATTGATAGTTCAGAGGCTGTTAAGGAAGAGGTGGATGAGGTAGGCCACTTCACCAGAAGTGGGAGATGTTATTCTCCCAACCAGACTAGTGAACTCGAGAAAAGAGCGGCCGTTGATAAAGAAAAAAGGGTTGAGATATTGTTGAAAATGATGAGCCAATAATTAATGAGTCGGTAACTGAGAACGAGGCCGTGGAGTTTTTAAAATTTTTGAAGCATAGCGAGTACAACATTGTCGAACAACTACACAAGTTGCCAGCTCGTATCTCGATCCTGGCTTTACTATTAAGTTCTGAGGCACATCGAAATGCCTTGTTAAAAGTCTTGAATCAAACTTTCATACCGAAAGATGTGCCAGTAGAAAAGATAGATCAACTAGTTACTAATATTCAGGCGGATAACTTTATCTCTTTCTCTGATGATGAGATCTCGTCCGGGATGATGGGCAACCCCAAAGCCCTACATATTACCATTAGGTGCAAGGGACATGTGTTATCACGAGTACTAATCGACAACGGCTCTGCCCTGAATGTGATGCCATTAGTGACATTGAAGAAACTACCAGTCGATAGTACACACATGAAAAATTGCCAAAGCATCGTTCGAGCTTTTGACGGAACGAAGAGGGAGGTACTAGGGAAGATCGATGTTCCTTTAACCATAGGTCCAGCAACCTACGAGGTCGAATTCCTTGTAATGGATTTAATGCCCTCCTATAACTGCTTGTTAGGAAGGCCTTGGATCCACCAGGAAGAGCTGTGCCATCCACTCTGCATCAGAAACTCAAATTTGTAATTGAGGGGAGACTGGTATGCCTTAATGCCGAGGAAGATATCATTTCTTCTATATCTACTACCGCTCCATATGTCGAAGTAGATGATGATGCTGTCGAGTGCTCTTTCAGAGCCCTGGAATTAATTAATGCCACATTTGTTGCCGAAAGAAAGAAAATTCCAAAGCCTATGTTATCCAACTGTACCAAAATGGAGCTGAAGATGACTCTGGGAAGAGGAGCCAAGGTTGGAAGAGGGTTGGGGAGTCACTTACAGGGAAATATTAGTCCAGTTTTTCCCGGTATTAAACGAGATCGTTTTGGTCTGGGATATCGCCCAACCTTAAAGGAAAAGTTGAAAAATGTTCAAAAGAGCCAGAAAAGAGGAAAGCCAAGTTAGCCGGGGAGGATATTAAATGGGAGCCCATGATTGTTCCACCACTACGTAATACCTTTATATTTGGGTGCCACATGTTTCAGGGGGCCCGATCATCCAAAGAACCTGTTATTGAAATTGCCCTGAGGGATTTGGGCATAAATGTGATATCAGAGGAAGGAAACGAAGACGGAATGGCTATGGGCATATACCCCGCACTACCAGGCTTTGTGCTAAACAATTGGACTGCAGAAGAATTACCTGTAGTTTACAAAACTGTTTCAGAGTAATGCACAAAAACTTTCCCTATTGTCTAAGCCCCGGGACAATATGTGATCTTCTGTAAGGGGTTAATCTATCTGTTTTTTTATGAATGATGCATTCCTGTTAATTCACGAAATGACAAACATCATCCTTTGTATTTTTTTCTCCTTATTTATTTATTTATTTATTATATATTATTATTTCATTCTATTTTGATATGGGATAGATTCTCATGTATTTGTATATGTATATATATCCTCTCATTCGTTATTCTTTCAGGACCTATGGTATCAATAGTATGAATGCTGATGACTCTGACCCGAAGATAGATTCCGAGCTGCCCATATGTCAAGCGGAAGTTGGAGATTATGATAATGATGAGGAAAATGACTTACCTTCTGAACTACTAAAAATGGTAGAGAGAGAAGATAAACAAATTATGCCTCATGGAGAGACCATTGAGATCTTGAATATGGGATCAGATAAAGTCAAAAAGGAGATAAAAATTGGCACTATCATATCTACTAAGGGACGACAAAGTCTATTGAGCTACTTCAAGAGTACAAAGATGTGTTTGCTTGGTCGTATGAGGACATGCCAGGTTTAGACACTGAGTTGGTGGTACATAAGTTGCCAATAAAGCCCGAATGTAAACCGGTACAACAAAAGCTCAGAATGATGCAACCCGAAATGCTACTTAAGATTAAAGAAGCAGTAAAGAAGCAATTTGATGCTGGGTTCCTGAAAGTATCCAAGTATCCAGAATGGGTAGCAAACGTCGTTCCAGTACCAAAGAAAGATGGGAAAGTCCGCATGTGCGTCGACTACAGAGATCTTAATCGGGCCAGTCCGAAAGATAATTTCCCCCTGCCACACATAGATACCCTGGTGGACAATACGGCTGGAAACTTTCTCTTTTTGTTTATGGATGGGTTTTCAGGTTACAATCAAATAAAGATGCATCCAGATGATATGGAAAAAACTACGTTTGTCACTATGTGGGGCACGTTCTGTTACAAGGTGATGCCGTTTGGGATAAAGAATGCAGGGGCAACCTATCAAAGGGCCATGGTAACACTATTTCACGACATGATGCATAAAGAAATAAGGTCTACATCGATGATATGATTTTAAAGCTAAAACAGAGGAAGAACACATCGAGAATCTGAGGAAACTCTTCCAAAGATTAAGGAAATGTCAGTTAAAACTCAATCCAAGCAAGTGTACCTTCGGGGTAATATCTGGAAAACTTTTAGGGTTTGTAGTAAGCAAAAAAGGGATTGAAGTAGATCCTGACAAAGTCAAAGCTATTCAGGATTTACCACCCCCACAAACACAAAAAGAAGTTCGAGGATTCCTGGGAAGATTAAACTATATTTCCTGATTTATTTCGCAATTAACTGAGAAGTGCGATCCCATTTTTCGTCTTCTCCGTAAAAATAACCCAGGGGTATGGAATGATGATTACCAAGGAGCTTTTGAAGCAATAAAATGATATTTGTCGAATGCTCCAGTCTTAATGCCACCAATATCAGTCAAACTATTAATCCTCTACTTATCAATCTTTGAGAATTCAATGGTGTGCGTATTAGGGCAACATGATCAAACTGAGAAAAGAGAAAGAGCAATTTATTACCTCAGCAAAAAGTTCACTGATTGTGAGGCAAGGTACTCGCCAATAGAAAAGTTGTGTTGTGCTTTAGTTTGGATGACCCGAAGGCTCAGGCAGTATATGTTGTATCACACTACTTGGCTGATATCTAAACTTAATCCTCTGAAATATCTAATGGGTGTACTTGCTTTATCTGGAAGATTGGCTCGTTGGCAAATCTTATTGTCTGAATTTGACATCCAATATGTAAGCCAAAAAGCAGTTAAAGGAAGTGTTGTGGCCGATTTCATTGCAAGTAGGGATTCTGAAGAGTATGAACCACTGAACTTTGATTTTCCAGACGAAGATTTAATGGTTATTTCAACTGAAGAGACAGTTTCCTCTAATAATGAACAGTGGAAGATGAATTTCGATGGTGCCTCGAATGCCTTGGGGCACGGGATTGGGGCAATTCTCGTCTCACCTGGTGGAAAACACTATCCTTTCACCAGCCGATTGAATTTTGATTGCACAAATAACATGGCCGAGTATGAAGCATGTATTCTGGGTCTTAGAGCGGCAATTGAGCGTAAAGTGAAAACACTTAAAGTATACGAGGATTCAACACTAGTAATTTATCAACTCAGAGGTGAATGGGAAACAAAGGATACGAAGTTGGTGGAATACCGTAAGTTGGTCATAGAGCTCATTAAAGAATTCGAGAGAGTGACATTTCATTATCTTCCCAGAGAAGAGAATCAAATGGCGGATGCTCTGGCCACTTTGGCAGCAGCCTACAAAGTAAATGGATATTCAAGCATGATGCCTATTATGATGCAAGCTTACGGGTATCCAGCCCATTGCTATAACATAGAAGAGGAAAATGATGGAAATCCCTGGTATTACGGCATCATGCAATACATTAAATATCAAAGCTACCCTGAGCATGCCAATGAGAATGACAAAAGAACTATTCGAAGAATTGCGGTAGGGTACGTGCTTGATGGTGATATCTTGTACAGGAA